AAAAGAGAAAGCAGCACAGCATGAGCGAGCCGGCAGCCGGCCCGGGAGTCTCCGAGCGGCGCGGCGCTCCGAAAGCTTCGGGCACGGCGGTCGTGCAGCGCGGTGCCCAGCCGGGCCTGGCTCCGAGAGCGGCGCCTCTCCCCGCAACCGGGCACCCGCCGGCAGCCGCGCGCACTCACTGATCCGCAGCAGCGCCACGTAGATGAGGAAGTTGCGGACAGACGTAAGGACGTCGCGACGCATCTTTCGCCTCAGCTCCTCCGGGTCCATCTTGGGCCCCAGCCCCTCGATGCGGAACATGCTGCTCCGGCTGCCGAGCGGGGCCGGAACCGGAAGAGGAGCGAAGCCGGAACCGGAAGAGGGGCGGTGCGCGTGCGTAGGAGGAAGGTGAAGGCGCAGCGTGGCGGCAGGCGCGTGCGCACGAGGAGCGGCGCAGCTACGGCCGGCAACCAGGCGGGCGCAGCGCCGGAAGAGCGTTGTGTTTGCGCGTGCGCCGTTCTCTTTGAGCGACCCTCTGCTGCCTTCTGCGAAGGGGCGGAAGCGCGGGAGGGCGCGTGGCTGGGAAGGTGCAACTTCTGCTGGCATGCAAGCCAAATGCAAGCTGTTCCCAGAGCCCATCAGTATTCTTAGAACCGTAGAATCATGGAATGGGGGCTGCAAGAGCATCCAGTCCAACCGCCCTCCCATCGCCACTGCCGCCACAAGCACTGAACCAGATCTCGCAGCTCCTCATCCAGGCGCCTCCTGAACACTGCCAGGGACGGCGACTCCACCACCTCCTGGGCAGCCATTGCGGTGCCTGACCACTGAGAGAAAAAGTTCTTCCTTATGTCTAACCTCAACCTCCTCTGGCACAACTTGCGGCCATTTCTTCGCGTCCTGTTTGTTGCCTGGGAGCAGAGGCCAAACCCCTCCTGATCACAACCTCCCTTCAGGAAGTTGCAGAGTGCAGTGAGGTCTGCCCTGAGCCTCCTCCACACTGAACAATCCCAGTGCCCTCAGCTGCTCCTTGTAAGACTTGTGTTCCAGACCCCTCACCAGTTTCACTGCCCTTCTCCGCACACGCTGCAGAGCCTCAGTGTCTTTTTTGTAGTGAGGGGCCCGAAACAACACAGTACTCAAAGTGCAGCCTCACCAGTGCTGAGTACTGGTGATCAGCTGGGGGACGATCACCTCCCTGCTCCTGCTGGCTGCACCATTTCTATTGCAGGCCAGGATGCCGTTGGCCTTAACAGCCACCTGGGCACACTGCGGGCTCATGTTTAGCCAAGCACCAGCCAAAACCCCCAGATTGCTTTCCTTTTCACAGCCATCGAGTCACTCAGCCCCAAGCCTATAGAGCTGCATGGGGTTATGGTGGCCAACAAGCAGGCCTCCTTTCCTCCAGATGGCACCTGCTGGTGCTGCCGGCTCACGACCAGAAGGACTATGACACTTTGGAGCAGGGGCCCCATGATAGACCAGGACTTGGGGTCAAGGATGTGGGCATTGTCAATAGGCTGTGCTATATAGACCACAGGGGAATCTCATACTTTCTCTGCGGTTAACTGAGAGAGAGACAGCAAGAACAAGTGTTAATTGTTTAGCAGCCGGTAACGAGGCAGGGCCCGAGCCTGGGTGGGGGGAAGAAAGGGGAAAGGGTCGGGAGATCATAGATGGGTCTAAGAGCAGCGGCAACGATCTGACTAGGAACGTTAAGATAACACAATACAACATGTTACAAGTGGAACTGAGGCCAACAAATCAAACAAAACGAGAGAGAGTGTCCAAAACTGAGGCCTCTTACTACAGACTGCAGGGGACAACGTGCTTCACTGCTGCAGACACCGAAGGAGCCTGCCATCTTTGCAGAAGCTCCACCTTTCTTCCCCTCCTCCGAAGTCCTCCGGGAAATGCCGCTCCTCTCCTCCTCTCCAAAATGCCCATAAAAAGCAGTCTACAGAACCAGAACATCAACTCTTTAACTCCCACTGCTTTACATGATTATATGATGTGGAATAATGACGACAAAAATCACAAAACTGTGACATTCCACTGCTTATTCCACATCACTACATCATGCTTAGCATATATTTATACACAAACAAGCAGAAATTAACAGACATTACACACATCACACATATCTATATGTATATGCATACACGGAATGGAATTCCTGCACTCCCTTGGTGTACACATTGAACATCCCCATTTTTCTCCATCATCCACCACGTGGACCCAGGTTCCTGAGCTAAAACAGTTCCATGAAGAGGTTTGCCCTTTCCAGAAGCTGGAAGGACCCAAACTGCTTTTCCCAACATGCTCTTTATATGTTCTACAGAGACCTTATCTCCCTCTACAGTATGTAGGCAATTGGATTGGGTAGGACCATCTCGACTGACCGATCCTCTGGTATTGACCAACCGTGTGGCTTCTGCCAAATGCTTCTCCCAATGCTTACATGTTCCACCACTTTCAACATGGTTTTTAACAACCCATTGTATCATTTAATTTACCAGAAGCTGGTGCATAACTGGGGGTGTGATAAATTCATTCAGTGCCCTGATCTTTGGCCCAAATATCCACAGGGCAGGTTTTGAAATGAGTCCTCTTATCTGACTCAATTCCTTCTGGAGTGCCATGTCACCACAGGACTTGCTCTCAAGACATAACGTGGTGTTTCAGGCAGTAGCATGGGGTGCTGCATGTGTTTCAAGCCACCCAGTGCTTGCCTCCACCATGGTGAGCACATGATGCTTTCCATTGCAAGATCGTGGCAAGGTGATCTGGTCAATCTGACACACCTCCCCATGTTTGCACTTTTGCCATCGCCCTTCCCCCCAGACAGGTCTCGTCCTCTTGGCTTGTTTAATTGTGGCGCATGTGTCACAGTCATGGATAACCTGTGCAATAGCATCCATAGTTAAGTCCACCCCTCAGTCTAGCCCATTTGTATGTTGCATCTCTCCCTTGATGACCTGAGGTCTCATGGGCCCACCGAGCCAGAAATAATTCACCCTTGTTCTGCCAGTCCAGGTCTATTTGAGCCACCTCAATTCTGGCAGCTCGGTCTACCTGATGGTTGTTTTGCTGTTCTTCAGTAGCCCGACTCTTGGGCACATGAGCATCTACATGGCACACCTTCACAACCATATTATTTGTTCGGGCAGCAATGTCTTTCCACAGCTCAGCAGCCCAAATAGATTTACTCCTTCATTGCCAGTTATTTTGCTCTCACTGCTGTAACCACCCCCATAAGGCATTGGCCACCATCCATGAGTCAGTATAAAGCACTGGCCACCTCTCCTGTTCAGCAGCATCTAAGGCCAGCTGGACAGCCTTTACCCCTCCAAATGGGCTTGATTTTCCTTTTCCTTTAGTGGCCTCTGCAGCTTATCATGTGGGACTCCACACAGCAGCTGTCCAACTGTGATGCTTCCCTACAATATGACACAATCCCCCAGTGAACAGGGCAAATTTCCTCTCATTTTCTGGTAATTTGTTGTATGGTGGGTCCTCTTTAGCACACGGTACCTCTTCTGCTGGTGATGGTCCAAACTTTTTGCCTTCAAGCCAGTCCATCACTTCTATGATTCCTGTGCAACCAATGCAATCCACTTACTCTGAGTGGCATCAGAAGAATGATGGGTGGAGGGAGCCTTTCTCTCCAGCAGCAGTGTAGAGGATGTTCTTTACATCCTGTCCCCTTCTTACTGGCCCCAGGGCCACGGCTCGGGCTATCTCCTGTTTAATCTGCTCAAACACCTGCTGCTGCTCAGGACCCCACAAAAATTATTCTTCTTCCGCCTTCCCCTAAGAAAGGGAGCTAACAATGAGTCTATAGTTTGGAATGTGCATCCTCCAAAAGACCGCTACGCTTAGAAAAGATTGTGTCTCTTTCTTGCTAGTGAGTGGAGACATAGCAGTGATTTGGTTGACCACATCTGCTGACCACATCTCATTTTACTTCTAGGAACTGAATTTCCTGGGCAGGTCCTTTCACTTTGTTTCACTTAATAGGGAAACCAGCTTGCAGGAGGATTTGGATTATTCTAACTTCCTCTGCTGTATCACCCCACACAATGATATCATCAGTGTACTGCAGGTGCTCAGGAGCACCGCCCTGTTCCAATGCAGTTTGGATCAACCTGTGGCAAATGGTCAGGCTATTTCCACCCCTGGGGCAAATGGTTCCAGATATACTGAATGCCCCTCCGGGTGAAAGCAAAGTGTGGCCTGCATTCCATGGCCAAAGGAATGGAAAAGAATGCGTTGGCAGCATCAGTGGTGGCATACCATTTGGCCGCTTTTGACTCCAGTTCCTACTGGAGTTCCATTATGTCCAGCACAGCAGCACTCAGTGGGGATGAGACCTCATTCAGGCCACGGTGGTGCACCGTCAGCCTCCGTTCTCCACTGCCTTTACGCACTGGCCATATGGGGCTGTTAAAAGGTGAGCAAGTTTTGCTGATCGCTCCCTGACCTCTGGTTGATGAATCAATTTATGAATGGGGAGCAAGGAATCCCTGTTGGTGCGGAACTGTGAACTTCGTTTGCACTTTGATCCATCTGTCCATTGCAGCTGTTGTGTTGGAACATTCAGCAACTGCTGCGTCACTCTATTAAATCAAAATCCCGTGAAATGTCAAACATCTTCAATTTCAAAATCCCACGTCATGTCAATCATTGTTAAGTCAATTTAATATTAATATATTGAACACTCCTGAAGCGTAACATCTGCTGGTCCGAGCGCACTTGGTCTGGGAACACCTCCTGCAGCAAGAGGTTTCCAGAAAGGACTGGTTTATTCATAGACACGGCAGAGTGGTGCAGGATGCTGAGAGGCGGATGAACCCTGCAGCATCTGGGACAGAAGGAAAGCTAACGCCGCGCCTCCACACAAGCAAAAGAGACAACAGGCGATGCTCCTTTCTGAGCTTCTTCAGGACATCCGTCCTCTGATCTGGCCTAATTTTTAGTCACCTTAAAAACACAATGACAATAAGAAGCCAACAACCTTGCACGTATCAAAAAACCTCTAAACGTATTTATTATTCAATTACATTTGCTTTTCATTGCACAAATTTGTTTTTTATCCCCATTTTTTACAGTTTTTGTTTTGTTTTTGTTTTTTTTTTTTACAAAGCGGTTAAGAGTTTTAGAAACGGTTAAAATGATCACGGAAGTCGATTTAGGCACAGTTCATTTGCCCACAACTACATTTTCTCCATTTTTTGTTTCCTCTATGTGAAAGATTTATGGTCACATTTGAGCTCCAAATTAAGGTGTATTTCGCAGTCTACACTTCTATGGGCATACTGTCTAAAAGAGCAGGTTTGATTACACTGTCTTGCCTTATCAAAGCCTGCCAGCAAAGCCTAAATGATTTTTTCTTTTACCTAGAAATGCTGAAATCAACACAACTCTAAGATGAGAACTGTGGTGGCTGAAAACTTTCTATGCTATCCAGTCGTAGCACGATGAAGAAACAGTTCTCAAGAGAAAGTACAAATTCCGTGGAAAAATTATTTTGACTAGGAAATAATTTAAATAATTTATTTTGTAGGAAAAATAATAAAAAAAAATCCGACAGATAAAACACATACCGTGACTGACGAAGTCGTATCAAGCACTTGCCCTTTTGAAAATAACAGCATGGGAACAAAGTACCCTGTTCCTGGGACAACACTGTGAAAATGGCTCTGAAGCCTGAAAGCCGTCAGGTTTTCTTGGCATGGCGTGGTGGGCTTTGAGATCTCTTATTTAGTTGTTCTCTTTGGTGAGAAAGCCTGACCACTTCTGGAGTAAGATGCACGTGTTTGGTTTAAAGCTGTGTATCTGTGGTGTGTTTTTGCATATAACTGCTTACTGCAGAGAGTGCCCAGGGTGCAGGAAATCCTATTCTGGAGGATGTGAAAGTTTGATTCAACAAAGCTGTTCTTAACATCGTATGAATCCTTATTTCTTTGCAAAAAGTTAGAGGAGTTGGAATTGATGAACCTTATCAGACTCCTCCAACTCAGGATACTCTGTTCAACCAGTGACTGATGCTAAAGGCTTTTCCTGAAGAACATTACAACTACTCCCTCTCTTTAATAATGCAGGAACAAACAAACAACAACATTTGACTTTCAGCACCCACATCTGTTTCTGCTATGTAGAAATGAACTAAGTACTTTGAAAGCCGGGTGAACTTCTTGCTGTAAAGAAAACAAGCTGCCAGTCTTTGTATGATTCCCATACGTGAGCATTTGGTGCCCCTGAGCTTGCTGCTGGGGAATCAGGAAAGTCTCACATAAGCACAGATGGTGCTTAGCCCCTAATTAGGGGGCTGTCTGCAGGAGACTGATTACGGAAAATATTTGGGAAAGCATCAGGCTACATGGAACCAGCAAGGCATTACTATTCACTATTACATGTGCCACGACAGATGTGCAGTTACAGACTAATCAGTGTTTGCTTGCTTCATTGGGGATAGGGATATCTCCATGAGCTCTGCATTTAGGGCAGGGAAAATTATGCCCTCTCAGGAGCTGCTGCTGCTGCTGCATTCAGATCCCTGGGCTGCTGACAGCCTGCTTCTCTTCATGCCATGCCTCATCAGCTCGCACCTCTCATGAGCAAGTGAGACCCAAGGACACCAACCAGGCTGGGGAGTCCACCTGCTGGCCTAGCTCTCCCTGCTGGGGACAGCACCTGCACAAAAATGGTCACCAGTACCAGCCTGAAAACAAGGATGGGACCTGAAGCCTGCAGCTGCTCTCACCCTATGCAAAGGGATGGTGCGAGCTGGTGCCACAGGGCACAGATAAGCAAACTGTGGGACCTGGGGTGATGGGGCAGCCTGCTGGAACATGCAGTAGATGGGGGAAGGAGGAGCCCAGCAGGAAAACAGGACAAGGCAGTGGCACCTGGGAATTAAGAAGGCAGCAGCTGTGAGCACAAACACGAAGGGCTATTTGTGGCCAGCCATGGTCCCATGATTCACCTGTGGCTGAGACAGCTTTTCTAGCATCGTTGCTGAAAGGTTTGCAGCGGGCTGAGAGTCTTTGGTAGAAGGAAGGAAGGAAAGAAGCCCCTGACTCAGAGGACCCGGAGACCTTTGTTGCACCTGCAGCTTTGTTGGTGGGAACCAGCCAGCATCACTGCCCCCTTTTGTGTAGCATCTCCAAACAGAGCAGCCCTCTTTCACCTACTGCCAAAGTGCTGACCACTGGCAGCCCCAGTGCACCCTCCTGCATGGAGCAGGACTATCCCCAGCACCAGGTGAGAGCAGCTGCAGTACTGTCAAGCCCCCTGACGCAGGGCTGAGTCGTGAGGCAGGAGGTGGCACGAGGGTCACTTTGGAGTCAGAGGTGGGAAAAGAAGCAAGCAGCTGCCTTTACTCTCCCATCATGTGGAGGAGCAACAAAACAGGTTTTGGTCCTAGAGCTTAACAGGTGGCTTCTCCGGAACAAGAGGAAGATTTTCCAAATCTCACTACTTAATGCATGGGCTTCAGACAAGTGACTTGGCAAGCAAGAAGAGACTGAAGAAGCACGGCAAGTCCACCAACAACTGTCTGGTTACGATTAGGGAAATGTGACCACCACAAGCCAGGGAAATCCATGCTGCATGAAGCATCAGCTTTTCCGCCAGCAAAAAAAATAGGAGTCGTGCAGGAAATGAAATCTGCTGCAGCGGCTGAGGGTGCGAAGAGCCACAGGCCGGAACATTCAGTACCTGCCTGTGTTCATGTAGACGTTTCTGAGCTCCAGCTCCAGCTGTTTAATTTTGACATCTCTCTGATTTAGGAGCTCACGTAGTCTACGAATTTCTTCCTGTTGTCGATAAAACATCTGCAGAAGCTGTAAGAAAAGTCACATTTTACTTCCCTTACAGTGAGGAAATACAGACATCCTAACAAACGCCACCGATCCTGTCAACTTCTCGGAGAAACAGCACTTAAAGAGAGGGCTTTCAGCTTACAGACTGAGCAGCAGCAGTGATCACTTGCACTACGAAAGTAGGTCTTCGTCAGTAATGGTACATCTGCTTAATTCAGTAGATAATACAACCTTCCTCCTGATGGCTCAAGCTGAGGAGAGTATTCGCATTTTACATTCCAGGATCTCCTACTGTCCTACCTGAGGGATTTTTTTTTCCTTTTTCTTTTTTACTTCTGTTCATGCTCTTTCCTCTCTGTTTGGACTAGCATGACCTTTCACTGTGCACGCAGCAGATGACCCAGCTCTGGAAGAGATGCTTTGGTAACCTCATGGGGCAGGTTCAGAAACACGAAGACTATCCTTCTTCACACCACTGGAAAATTGAGGTCAGCAGATTTCTGCCCTGTCAAGCTCAGATGCTAAAGCTTTGCCTATGCAAAAGGGACAAAGCATGGCTATTGAGAATGAAAACCTTCCAGGGTTCTTAAAAGCAAACAACCTGCACATACTCAGAAATGTCCCTGGGCTGCCAATGGGCTTCCCATTTGCCACAAAGATCTCACGCTCTTCCAGACTCTGCAAAATAAACCCTCTCCAGATTCCATCACCTTGTGAATCTTTTTGCCAGCTATCTCTAAATATCTCCCACAGCCCCAACCCTTCACCCTACACCTTCACACCTCATTTTCAGTTTTTGGTGGTGGACACTCAAATACGTCAAAGCCATTGGAGAGAAGCATGTGCTCATTTTCCGGCAACCCCTCCTCTACTTTCAGCTGGTTTCTGCTGTCTTTGATCTCACTTTTCTTCTGCATCTCCTCCAGTGCCATTCTTCCTCCCTGACTCTTGTTCGGGTCAGGACTTTTCACAGGTGGCTCTGACACAGGAAGCTGCAGTAAGGAATTCACAGGTCCAGAGCCTGGTCTCAAGGATACCAAGAGGGGCCCTGTGGAGGAAGTCAGGTGACTGGTTAGTGCTCACAAACCACGTTCAGAAATCAGCAGAAAGCAATTCATTCAAACAACCTGCAAGGGACGGACATGGAGGTGCTTGGCAAGAGAGGTCTGCAGTTCACAGTAGTGAACATTTTGGATTATTATAGTTGACAGCTATATTTGTCACATCTCTCCTTTAGCTCCATTATTGTTTTTCAGGCCAGAGAGCCTGCAGCAGCTTACCCAAGCCCTGGGGAGCTGAAGGGCTGGGAAGCTCTCCATGTGCTGACCTTTGTTAACTCCGTTCAGCCACTCCTGTGCCGTCATTGCTGGCTGGCCTCCTGTGGTCAAGGGGTAGATGTCTTCCTGGTACGACTCTGACTGCAAGCAAACAAAGCAGTCACAACATCAGAGAGGTTTGGGCTTAGACTGTCCATACTGGAAGGTGGTGGAGGAAGGAGCTCATTCCACCTACGAGCAGGGAGTGTGCCACCAGAATGTACGTAAAAGCTTCTCACCTGCCCAGAGACTCTCCTCCTCACCCCAGCTCAGGAGCAGAGCATCTGATGGCCTGTTCTAATTCCTGACAGTAAAGCCCTTTCACATCCAGACAACAGACTGGGGAGAAGTTAGTTACACAGATTAACCCTATGTTACCAAACTCCTTGCATCTGTAAACTAGAAGTTTACAGCCAGCTAGTTGTCCCGAAAGAGATCTAACTCTGAGTTACCCAACCCACGATTTGGTGGCAGGGCTGACCCACCAGCTGACTAACTTTGTTCCTCAGAGAAGGAAAGAGAAAATCTCTTGTTCTTCCTGCCATCCAGAAGTCACAGAGAGGAGCACTGTGACTCACTGATAGCACTAATATCAGTGAGTAAGAGTGATAGGCACTCTTACTCGCTGATATTTATCCCAGACCTTTGGCTTACTTACCCATCGAGGGACAATCATGGAGATGGGCTCAATCAGGCTCTTGGTTGGAATCAGCTTGTAAAAACGGAAAATCTCACAAGCTGACACTTCAAGGCCTCTTTTTGGCATCACTCCTGTTGGGAAGGCATAAGAGAAACAGGATATAAATCTTCGTAGGAGAACTAACGTCAACCATCATGGAAGAAGGGCCAACAAACGTGAGTCAGAGTGCCAGCTCTATAGCAGCATGGTCTGGAATCCTGACGTAAAACAGGCTCAGTGTTACATATTACTAGTAAAACTCAATCTTTTTTTTTCCTTCCAGATCACAAGGTTACATGCAGGATCTGTAGTGATTGACCTGAGCCTCCTGTTCACTACTCATTCTTACAAACTGCAAATGGAGTGACCAATACTGAGCAGACCTAGCAGCTGATGCCACAGGATTTAATTATGTAATCAGTAGGAATGGAGTTCAGGACCTCCAAATACCACAGTAATAGCTGGATGGGTCAGACCAAGGGTGCTTCCAGGCCAGTATCATCCCCCCAACACTGTCCCAAACTAGACTGGAGTATAAGGGTATGAAAATCTAATTTTTCATCCAGCATCATGTGTGTTTCTGGGATTGACAGAGCCACTTAAGATATTCGAGTGCTTGGTAGCTCTAGTAAGAAATCAGTGGAAAAAACTGAGTAATAGAGAGATCTTCCAGTTCAGCTTTAAATAATTTATTCTCTTCTAACAACTGGAAATTTTAACTTTAAATAATTTATTCTCTTCTAGTTTCCTGGAGGAGACCTGCAGGCATAGAATCCAGTGCTCCTAAGTATTTGAGGAAGAAGTGTCTGTAGGCAGCATGTAGGGCTGGCAAATGGTGCTAAAAACTCACCTGCCTCTGTTGGAAAATGTGGCCTAAAGGATAGATTGGAAAATGTTCAAAAAAGGGTTACAGCTGAGATCTGAGAGCTGAAACCCAAATACTATAAATTAAATTAGTCCAACACTGGAATAATGTGGGTACGTGTTAATGAGCAAAGGTTTCGATTGGAGGAGGTGACCTAGCTGCAGGAGGTCTAACTTGAATGGGAAATGATAATACAGAAGAAGGTAGGCGAGTGGAAGAAGCAAGGGCAGTGGGTGGCAGGCATTATTCACAAAGAAATCCCAGAGTAGAAACAATGTCAACAGAGTTTGGAGCTGGAAATCTTAAGGCAAAGTCTTAAAGCAAGGAACATGCTCCAGCTCTAAATCCAGTCTACAGTCCCAGACCAGCTACGTGGAGGGGATGCACCGGTATAGACTGGTAGAGCTCCTCAGTCCATACTTTGCTGGTCAAAGGAGACCTCTCCAAGGTGTGACCATGGTACACCTGAGGTACATAGGTGAACTGGGCCAAGCCAACCACCATTCCAGTATGGAGACTGAAATTAATCCACCGTCTTTTCTACACATTAAATGATATTTTGGACTCCAGCTTCTAAGATTGGAAATCAGCACCCTCTCGTCATGTTAGGCACTCACCTATTCCCTTCTGTGGTAAGTGAGAGCGATATTCCATCAGGTAGCTCAGGTATGGTTTCTCAGGGCTAATCTCATAGTACCGGATATTTCCATCACCCTAAATGCAAAGAAACTGAACGTAAGCCAGGCTCTGCTTGTCCAGAGTCTGAGGAGAGCGCGTGGCCCCAGAAGCTATGTGAGGTCAAGAACATAAGCTCTTCCTACCAAAATATTTACCCTGTATGCAGAGAAGTTAGGACTCTACCATGTCCCCGCAGTAAAAGTGACATGTTTGCAGTAGAAAACGTGGCCTGATTTTCCAGCATTCTTAGACCCCATCGCATTGGTCTATATCTCTGGGTGAATGTGACTCAGAAGCAACTATGACTTCAGCCTCAGTGATGTGGGTGATACAACACTGACTAAGAGAAGAACCAGACAGCATTTGCTAACACGGAAAGCACTTACCTTTCCCACAATATAAAGCATGTTCGTGTCTGAGTCGTAGAAAGGAAACAGGAGCCCCGAGGAGCCATCCAGATCCTCTTCCAGTAAAGGCACAGAAAGGTCATTCTGTGTAGGACACAGGAAAAACGAACGGCTGGAATCACCTGCAGCTACCTCTAGTCAGGAACAGCTTACATGAACCCCACCTTGGAGTGACATTTGAGAGCTGCTCTGTGATGACACCAGTACGTCTCAGCACAGCTCAGCTTTGTGGGAAGCATCTGGGAGGTAGCACAGTGCTCTGCCCTACGCAGAGAAGCCATGTCCAAACATAGTCAAATGGTCGAATCAGAGAGCTGGTCTACCTGCTTTGCCTGCTACAAAGGATGGCAGTGAGAAAAAGAGGCACAGGACTGTGCTGCAAGGTCAGCTGATGCAGAGGGTACAGTGATGTAGTGAACAGAGGAAAAGTGTCTTGCTGCATATGAGGGGGGCAGAGAAGAGTTTCATAAGGCTGTCACCAAGGAAGCATGTCTTGAAAGAGGCAAATACTACCTAATGTAAGGAATCATCATAAATCAATCACAAATAATAAATAAAGCACATATTTTCTTCCCTTCAGGGATCTGCTTGAGTGTGTTTATCTAGAATTCACTTAACTTCCAGTACCCATAACAATTTTGCCAATAAGACCACTAAGAGCTGCTTTTAACTTTCTTGACCTCCCTTTTCCTCACTGGACACAGTATTATCTTTGTTCTGGTGGATTCTATGCACAGAGTTGAGAGCGTTTTCAAAAAGTCATGCAGAGTTAATAGTATCCTAACAATACAGCCTGTCACTCTTCAGGGATAGGGCAGATTGCTTCCAAATTGCTGTTACAAAGCAATTCTTGAGCAGGTGGAATAGTTGAAGTGACAATAAAAGAGAGAAGAATGAAGAATGCTGGTTCAACTTACTTGATCCCATAATACAATCTGCCTATTATTCCACCGGGATGTTCCAGTAGAGAGCAGCTTCTTCATGTTTCCAAGAAACAAGACTTTATTGGCTCTGTGAGACTTGTAGCTGGCTTCCTATAGGAAGAGAAAACCCGTTCCTGAGTAAGAGACAGCGCCTTTCCTTGTTGCAGTAAAAAATTTCATGAGAAATCACATCGTGGCACATCGCTGAGGTCCCTTCCACTGCCCGTGAGGCTTATCTGGGTAGGCTAAGGCACACCACTTCATTTTTGTGTAGGCACATTTCATTGTACCCGAGACTTCTAGTCCAAGAAGCCATGCGCAGTTGAGAATGAAAGCACCTTTAAGAACATCTACCCTCAAATGTGGGGAAGTTGTTCACATCCAACAGATCTTTCCAATTGGGCTGAAACTACAGCAAGCAGGATTTCACAGGGATCTGAGAAAGGGAGCTTAAAACTCTTTCAGTGCATTCTCAAAAACTCAGTCAACTCTCTGGTTAGTGATTCACATATTCACGTCAGGGGAATCCCTAGGAGTTGCACTGTTGGATTTTCTGTGCACACAGATGTGTGCAAGTACCTCCAAAAGGCAGTCAGCATCATCTTACCAAGAGACACAAAGTACAGACAAATGTACACTTGCACCCAGCTGTCCTCCTGACCTCTGTCAGCCAGAGCAAGGAACCCAGAGGACTTCAGAAGGAAGCTATTAAATTAGAGCATTTCACAAAGGGTGTCAGAGAGCAAACAGCTTGGTAAGAAAATACAGAAACCCTGTTAACAGTGGCAGCAATTGTTTCATGAAAAATAGAAGACAGTACTACCATTAAATGCCTGGAAGAATACTGAGCACAGATCTGTCTTTTTTAATGGCAATTAGTCTACCCAGAAGTGGAAACACTCCACAGGTGAGATCAGCTGGATCTAAAAACCCTGAAGTCAACCTACTTGTAGGACTGTTCTCGCACGAGGGTCTATCAGACGGATCTTTTTATCTCTGCAGGTTGTGGCAAGGAGGCTGCCATCCGTGTTGAATGACATGGAGAGGACCACATCTTTGTGAACATCAAGGATCTTCACTGGGTTTGACAGGACATCTTCCCTCGTATCAAGGTTCCAGATCATTATCTGGGGCAAAAGAACAAAAAGTCATCTGTTTGTTGCCTGGCCAAGCTGGGACTTTGTATATGTACGCTCCTCACATCCTTCTCTCTTCTCTACATGTATAAGTCTTACCATCATGTATTTAAAATAATTTAAAATTATTTCTGGTACGTAAGGCAAATCATAGCTTATACAAAAAAATGGCCAGTGTCACTGCAGATATTTGCACTAGCACAAGAATGAAGTCAAAGGTATATGGCATTGGATATTGCTAGGAAAGGAGAACAGAGTAGGCTGATGTTCACCAGAAGAATGGTTTGAAGTTGAGGGAGCAGAGATTGAGGTTGGATGTCAGGGGGAAGTTGTGTGCTGTGAGAGTGGTGAGGTGCTGGAACAGCTGCCCAGAGAGGCTGTGATGCCCCGTCCATCCCTGGAGGTGTTGGAGGCCAGGTTGGATGGGGCCCTGGGCAGCCTGGGCTGCTGTGAAATGGGGAGGTTGGTGGCCCTGTGTGTGGCAGGGCGTTGGAGATTCGTGATCCTTGAGGTCCTTCCAGCCCTGGCCATTCTATGATTGTGAGATTCTGTGTGAAAATGAGCCAGGCTTTTTGAAGCCCATGAATGACTTCTTGCCTTTGGGGTCAGTACGGAATTTCCCTTTCATAAAGGTTTCTAAAGTCTTTATCATTAACTTACAGCTTGAAATGAAAGAAATTTCAAAACAACCTGACAAACGCAGCATCCCACGAGGAGGGCTCTGCAGACAATGGACTCACCTTGTAATCATGGCCAGAGCTGAAGAGGATGTTATTGGCCGTGGGATGCCATTCAATGAGGCCAACTCTTCGAGAATGTCCAAGAAGTTCCTTCTTCGGGGTGGTGATGTTTTTTGTTAGCATGGGCTTGGGGATGTCCCAGATTTTAACCTGAATGGCACAAGATGGGTCTTAGTGAGATTAGTGAGTGCAGTGCTAATTAGGAATTTGCAAATTTATCTTCATACTGTGTCATTTTGTTGGTATATCTCCTGCCTTTATTGGTTACCAGTCTTCCAAATCTTTAACTTCATTTTCAGTGGGTCTAATCTTCTGACTGTAGGCAGCAATTTCACTGTTTTGATTTAAATTGGCAATCAAACTTACACTCAGCAATGCTGTCAGCACATTCACAAAAAACTATTGTCCAGGGTAAGAAGTGAGCCACAGATCTTACAAACATGCAGCTACAGTTTTCCACCTCATCTTCTACCAAACTTTCAGCAGGAATGGGCAAATATGAAACAAACCTCAGCAAAAGGTCCTAGAAGATATTACAGCATTGACAGATCCAAGCAGTCGCCCAGTCAGCACTACCTGGTAGAGCTGAAAACACCTTTGGACAAACAACGACTACCGCACCATTTCTCCTATTAAAAGTGCACAACTGCAAAATGCTTTGCAAACAGTGCAGCACTGTGACCACAACGTTGGTTAAAGTACACAGAAGCCTACTTAGGTGGGCACACAACAGGCACCCTGATGAGGGACACTGGGCAGCATCACACACTGCGAGTCTGCTGTCTCATAGCAGCTCTGCTTGCTGCTCTCAGTTCTGGAAGGATGCTACACGGAAACAGAAATAAACAATGCCCCACTGGTGTGGAAGGAGTCAGTAAAGGTGACCTGTAAAAACAAATTAACCTGTGCAGGTAAAAGGAAAAGTCTTTCTCGTGTTGACCCTATAAGCACAAGCATTTAGGATGATAACAGATTGACCCTTTGGTTCAATGGAAAGGACTCTATTTGTGCTAAGTTCTCTGGGACTGAGCCTGAAGTAAGAAGATTCTGTCAGATGGAAATGTTCTCTGAATTACACAGTCGGTGGAAATTAGCCAGAGTTGCCCAAGTCCCCCACTGTTGGGCTGATGAGGATCACAACATTCTACACCAAAGAAACAGATGCACAAATTGAAGGACTTGCTAGGAAGGATGACAACCACCCTTCTCACCAGTGCTCATCTCTGCAGAATCAAATCTTTTGGAAACCTAAGGACTATGAAGTGCAGTGAACTTCCACAGCAGTAAGAGAATGCATCAGACCTACAGCCTCACCAGCTATCACTAAATGAACGGGGCTGAGGAAGTAGGGAAGGGGAGCTGTGAAGAACTGACTGGGAAGAATGATGCACTCTCCTGCCACGAAACTGGCTGTAACACACAGAGAAGATGGAGCCAGACTTCGGGGGCAAAGAGAGCAATGGACACAAATGGCACTGTGGGCTCTCCCTCGGGATCAGAGAAGCACTATTCTCCCAGAAGGATCCCAAGAATATTGGCCCAGTGAGGCTATGATGTCTCCAACCTTGGAGATCTTTGCGACTCAGCTGGGCAAGGCCCAGGGCAGCCTGATCCAGAAGGCCTGTTTTAAGCAGGGCTTGGACTAGGTGACTGCCATCAGCTAAGTTTCCAGCTATCAGCTACAGGAAGGACAATCATGTTATAAAACACAGTCTGCTGTCCTCATTACTCAGGAGGGAAGGAAAAGCTGTCCCTACACTGTGTAACTGTACAGCAGATCCCGGGAGATCCCATTCTGTGGTGCCAAGACGATGATGGTGAGGTACTACAAAGGAGAGCAGAGTCCCAGCGCAGCAAGTTCTTTGAGTAACTTTTGGTACCAAGATCTGTGATCAGCTGAGTGTTTCAACTCTTCACCCTGGAGAGTGATCCGGTGTAGGAAACCAGAAAAGAAAACTGGCAGAGAGCAGCTCTTCTGCATAGGCACTGAGGTTCTGGCAGACAACAGAATAAATACGACCAGGCAGCACACCCAGGCGGAGATGAAAGCTAACAACATCCAGAAAGATAGCTACTAGGTCAGAGGAACTGACTTTTCCCTTTACTCAGCAACCATTAAACAACCACTGGGATACTGCATCCAGTTCTGCTTTTCCCAGCACAAGATAAATGCTGGTAAACTCATGTGAGTCCAGTGGAGACCACCAGGATGTTCTTGTCCTGTGAGAAGAAGCTGAGGGACATGAGCTTGTTCAGAGTGGAGAAGAGATATCTTCAGAGGAATCTGCTAAAAGCCTTATTTCTTAGCCTAAATCTTGTAAGATTACTTACAAGATTATTCACAGAATCACAGAATGACAGAATTGTAGGGGTTGGAAGGAACCTCCAGAGATCATGGAGTCCAGCCCCCTGCCAAAGCAGGTTCCCTACAGCAGGTCACACAGGTCGGCATCCAGGCAGGTCTTGAACATCTCCAGAGCAGGAGACTCCCCCCCCTCCCTGCAGCCTGTTCCAGTGCTCCTCACCTCACTGTACAGAAGTTCCTTCGCACATTGGTGCACAACTTCCTATGCTGCAGTTTCCAGCTGTTTCCCCTTGTCCTGTCTCCACTCACCACTGAAAAGAGTCCGGCCTCGCCATTCTGCCCCCCACACCTCAGATATTTACAGACCTGGATCAGGTCCCCTCTCAGCCTTCTTTTCTCCAGGCTGAACAGACCCAGTTCACTCAGCCTTTCCTCATAGCAGAGATGCTCCAGGCCCCTCACCATCTTTGTGGCCCTCCGTTGGACTCTTTCCAAGAGATCCCTGTCTGTTTTGTACTGGGGAGCCCAGAACTGGACGCAGTGCTCCATTATTAAGAGCAAATACTGCAATGCTTGTTACTGAACTGCAGAGTGGGAGAATGGGATACAGTGGTCATTAACTACACTGGAAAGGTTCTAACTGCATGTAAGGAAGAAGTTCCCCATGCAGTAGTGAAGAATAACAACAGGTTGCCCAGAAAAGTGATGAAAGCTGCACTGTTGGAGATTTTTGAGACTCAGCTCTACAGACTGGGACGGTAGGTGGGGCCAGAGGCTTCCCAAGCTCCCTTTAAATTCAGATTGCATTTATGGAATGTATTCCGCAACTGCAGCGGGAAGCTTCAAAGCTTGTGCTTACCCCTCATCTGAGTAAGCACAGAGGTCATGGTGATGCCTTTGTGCCCCAAGTCCTTTCTGAGATGGCATGAGCACCTGCATACCATTGGTAAGTTAAAATACAACACCCAAAGGCAGCCCAGAAATTGAAAGAAGGTGTGAGAAAAAAAGAAAGCAAAACATGGAGATCCTAAAGAAAGCAAAGTCACTAAACAAGAAGGAAAACTCAAAGCACATATAGATTTCTAATTCAAGAGAGATTCCCGGCAGATCTGAAATGGCAGAAGATATCCAAGCAAGGCAGGGCTGGAGAAAATGACAAGGCAAGCCTGCCACATGCTATGTGGCAGGGGGTAAATAAACACAATAGGAGGAAACACAGGTGGGATCTCTGAATAAAAAGCACAGCGTGTAGTCAGGCTCTTTGCTGTCACAGACACCAACCCGCACTCTGATAGGCCACAGAAAGCAGCCTTCCAGTGGGTGGGTATGGGCTAACATGTCCCTTACGAACACAGATTGCGTCCTTCTGCTCCTGATAACTAAACTGCATCTACGGTGAAGTACATCTGACATGTGGTATTTGCTGTACATCAGTTGTTTGTAATCAATTGCATTAGCATTAACATTTGCATTTCTGAAGTTCCGTGTTTTCAGTAGGAAAATGCTCTCTTTGTTGCCTGGGGCAGAATAAAGTACGATGTGGGATCCTTAGCTACCCCAGCAAGGCTTTACAGAGAAACTCAGGGCAGGAACAAGCTCACAGTTGCTACGCAGGGAAATAATCTGAAATAGCTGTTGCAAATTGTTGCACGAAGCTTTTGTTTTGCAGTAAGGGAGGAATTTTGTAGTGATTGACCTTGAAGTGATTTTAAATTCATATTCTTTCTCACATAAGCATAGGCAAAAAGATGGGAGGCGCCCAAGAAAACCCAGATATTTTTCATGTCATGATTTTAATAACATCAGGTAGACGGGATCACATCGGCCTCCCCCAAACACAGAGATCCCGCTCTTATACCTGGCTTTTTATCTGGATACTTTCACATATTATCCCTGGGTCTTTCGATTCTCTTCTAATTTCTCCCCCCCAAAAGCTTGTTGGCCAGGTCATGGCACAGAGGATAAGCTGGGAAACTTACGGTGGCATCTTCTGAACACGATGCTATAACAAAGTCATTGAACGGGTTCCACTTGATGTCCAGAACGTTCCCTCTGTGCCCACATACTCTGGGATAATGTGGGTCAAGCTTCCCTGTCTGGAAAAAACAAATATCGAAACAAAGGTGAGCCATGGAATCACAGGCTGTTTGCAAGTGAGACCTGAGCCAGCCCCAGTGAGAAACCCCCTTCTGTTGCTACATTCCAAATACCCCAGGTGGTCTCTGTGAGAATGGGGTTTTGCTGCTCCTGCAAGGCAAGTCTTAAGGATATCACTGACCAGCAGGGAAGCGCTGCTGCTCAGGCCCTGCTTAGAGCACATTGCTACCAAGAGAACTGGACATACAGCAGTCAAGAATGCTGTGCTTACAGAAGTTATTACTGTATTCAGATGCCAAATAAATTCACAGGGGAAAAGGGAATGAACTGAATCTCACCTTTTTTTTTTTTTTAAGAGATTTGGGGAGGACAGGGAAATCTCACATTTGTTTCTTGAGTTTGCCTTTCATTTAAGCAGGAAAAGCTTGCCTTTTTTCACTTCTTCAAGTAGAATTTATTCAATTTATTGATTTTTTAAGCAAGCACACTCAAGCACAAATTACAATTTCAGTTTTTCTTTCACAAGCTATCCATTTTTCTCCGATGGTTTTCAAATCCAATCGTTCATCACCTTAAATCAACATTTGGGACCTTCTAGAAATACACCACGTTTGGGCAGTAGGCTCGCTGCTAAACAACATCCACAGTGAAACACACCTCGTTCCACATGGGGGCTGTGCTGCTCCAGGATAACATGTACTGCAAACAGCCTCTGCCACAAAGTCACCTCAGCCTGACGTGCAATAGGGTTGCAGTCAGAGCAGCACTGGCTTCTGCCTGACAGCAGGAGAGCAAGAGGAGCTCCAAGGCCCCTCTGCCAAGAGCGCAGTCACTTGAGAGATGGTTTCAAGCTGGTCATGCTTCACCTGCCTTCTTTTATCCCAGCTGGAGGAATCGTAAACCACACGAGCGCGAAGGTTTGCACTTCCGGAAAGCAGGCGGTGCAGGAGCGAGCTCCTCATGCTGCTGCAGAGGGGGGCCCTCAGGGTGGAGAGGACACAGTGCTGACCATGGCCAGGATGTGGCAGCCGTGTCATTTTGCCATCCCCAAACGTCTACAGGCTGGCTGCTTTTTGCTTAGAACCAGACGCGATGTAAAACTACTCTGGCCTCACTGGAAAGTTTGTCACACAGACTGGGACTAACCTGCTTCAAACGAAACACCCGGAGGGCTTTGAAATGTAAAATACTGTGCCTCTATGGACTACAGTCTCAAACAAAGCATTTTTGTAATAGGAGCAATAACAAGAGACTCGGGAAGGGAAAAGACAAGACATTAAAGGGCTTTAATGAGCAGCATTTTCCTGCCCAGATTGCCCTTTTGCGGGATTCAGGGCTTGGTTTGAAGCCAGCAATCCAGTAGGCTGGGCAGCCAGCATCACAGGGATCCCTTCATCCCTGTGGGAATTCCCACAGCTTCCTGCCTTTCCTGCTCCAGGCTCCTCCTGGGAGATTCCCAGGCTACCCAGCCATTCCATCATGCCACACTGAGACCCCTCTGCGTGCCTCATCAGGCTCAGCTGAGCCCAGAAAAGGAGCCCCCTGTGCTTGCACCAATCCCACCTGCCCTGAGGCAATTCCACAGCTCTGGCACTCAACAGAGCCCGCAGAACATGACAAGCTGCCAACCAGCACACAGGACAAGCCTCAGACAAACATACTGTTGGTTTCAAAGTGCTGTATGTGGGAGGTCTTCCCGTGCTGGGAAATTTAGTTCCATCGACCAAGCGCTGTTTTAGTAACTAGATGTGTTGTCCTCCTTGCAGAGACACCTGGCTTTCATAGTTATTTGCACAGCTTGATAACTAGTTTCATTTTTCAAACACTTGCTTTATAAGCTCCCAGCATTTTTCAAGAATGTGAGACACTGTAGCCAGATACGGCTTCTTGACAAAAACGTCAGCTCACTAGAAGGACTGCTAAAATTCTCCCAGTAGATTTGCACAGTGCAGATTACCATTAGATTGGTCATTCAAGTTGTCAAGTGCTCTTCAAAGGACAGGAGCACACGCTGCCATCACACAATGGTGCAGCATCCCCTTTGGCCCCAGTTAGTTAAAACCTCTGGGGTCATCATGGCTGTCATTTCATAGCTTTGTCATCTAAGAGAATGAAGCAGAGTTTGTGTCTTAGAGGTCCACATAGCCAAAG